GAGGTAGCATATTTATATGAATGTGCACTATGGAAATATATAAACAGATACAAAATCTATTAATGTTTGTTACACATATATGCTTGGGGGGATGCTCAATAAATAAAAATACCTTCGGTAAAGAATAGCATGGTGATCTGTGGATTGGGGGAAAAAAAACATTCTATGCAGATCCCTGAAGTTTGGAAAATATTATTCTGAAAATATCAACAATTCAGGAATAAAGGCTTAAACAAGGGACTTGTCTATAATGCAGACAACACTCCAGCCTCATTAATTATCAAAGAAATACTAAACAAAACTACAAGGAGATACAATTTTTCATCTTGCAGACTGGTAAATATTATGAAGTGTGCTCTCACTTTGGCAGCACACGTACTAAATTTAGAGAAGCACAGTATATTCACATGGTCCTGGGTGTGGATGACATGCAAATAATGACAAATCCCGTGATATTGTTGTATGAGTAATCAGGTTGGTGTTACTTTTTGGAAGAGGAAAAAGGAGAGGGAGAAGTGAGATCTCTGAGATGAAGATAAAAATTCTGTTGTCTTGAATACTAATTGGAAATTTCACTATTAACTCATGATATAATTTAAATGTATTCATTTTATAGCTTTGCCCAATGGGAAAAAAATGAATAGACTAACGACAAACCCAGGAGAAAGAACTATGTCTAATGCCCTGCTTGAGGTCTCCAAATAATATTTATCACTAAAAGGAACCAGGATCCTTTGGAGAAATGGCTGACCCATACCCAGCGTGGGCTTTCCCATCATCCACACCCAAAACTATGCTAAACCAATCTGTGGACTAATTTAGTTATCATACACTCTTAATCCATCTTCACACACCCTACATCCAGCCACCTCCAAAAATCCCCACCTATGAAGTCATGAGGCTTTGGGGGACATCTAGATATAAGCTATAATAAGCTATAACTGTTCAAGGACACTAATGAATGAACTCATTATATTTATTTATTTTTTTATTTATTTGGTACTGGGAATCTAACTCAGGACCTCACACATGTTAGGGAGACGCTGTGCTGCTGAGCTAGCTATGTCCCCGGCCCAACTTCTTTTTTGGAGTCCAGCTCTATGAATTTCATCATATGTAGTTTTTGTTTCATTTTGTTTGAGACAAGGTCTCACTATGTAGTTCAGGCTGGCCTCCAACTCACTGTGATCCTTCTGCCTCAGCCTCCTGAGTGCTGAGATTACAGGCCTGAGCCACCACACCTGGCTATTTATTTATTTTTGAGACAGGGTCTTGCTATGTAGGTCAGGCTAGCCTTGAACTCACTATGCAGCCCAGGCTGGCCTCCAACTTGTAGAAATCCTCCTGCTCTAGTTTCCTGAGCCCTGGGATTACAGGCTTGCACCACTATACCTGGCCTAACTCATTATTTTAAAAAATTGGAAAAAAGATAAGCATCTGGGTTGGAGGTGTAGCTCACTGGTAGAGCACTTGTCTAGCATGTGCAAGGCCCTGGGTTCAATTCCCAGAACTGCAAATACAAAAGAAAAGAAAAGAAGGAAAAAAAACCCCAGATTTATAGACTGTAATCTATAATTTTAAACACATATAATCTATAATTTTAAATAGTGATTCAAGCAAGATGCTAATAAAGTTATGAGACAATTGAGGATTGTGAAGCCTTCTGATATTTGATAAAATTAAGGAATTAAGAGGCCAGGCATAGTGGTGCACACCTATAGTTCCAGCATTCAGGAGGCTGAGACAGGAGGATTACCGTGAGTTTGAGGCTGGCCTAGCCTACATAATGAAGAATTATTAATGTGCTGACCATGCTAATTATTTACTAAGTATTTAATAATTAATTTACTGTGGTGTCATCATGAGTTTGTGCTACGGTCTTAAAAATTTCTTTAGAGATATTTTATGTCTGGGTTTGCTTTAGAATATTACAGAGGAAGTAGAAAGGAGGATGGGTGTATGGATGAAGCAAGATTGGCCATGATGGGCACATAGGATTCCCTCTAGTTTTTTTTTTTGGTTTTTTGAGACAGGATCTTGCTGTGTAGTTGAGGCTGGCCTTGAATTCACTATGTAGCCCAGGCTTGCCTCAAACTTGCAGTGATCCTCGTGCCTCAGCCTCTTGAGTGTTGGGATTACAGGCATGCATCACCACACACATACAAGAAACGGTCTGTCTTATACACTGTTGATAGAAGTACAAATTGGTCCATATTTGAGGGAGCAATTTAGCAGTATCTGTCCAAATGTTACAGTTCATATACTTTGACCTAGGAATTCCACTTTTGGGAACACAGCCTGCAGAAAAGCTCACAAAGATGTTTCCTACCCATTGTTGGTGATGGAAGGGAAACTGCAAGCAACTTCAATGCCCATCAATAGGAGTTATTTAAATAATTCCTTTTTTTTTTTTTTTTTTGGTACTGAGGATTGAGCTCAGGACTTTGCACTTGTGAGGCAGGTGGTGGAACCACTGAGCTAAATCCCCAGCCCTAAAATTTCCTACTCTTGAAAAAAAAATGTTTGATTTATTTAGCCAGGGGGGATTTAGCGCAGTGTTTCCGCCACCTGCCTCGAAAGTGCAAAGTCCCGAGTTCCAGTACCAAAGAAAAAAAAAAAAAGTAGGAAATTTTATTGAGGGAGAGACAACCTGAAAGAAACAGGAGGGGACCTAGAAAGTGGATTACCCTAAATAAATCATTCTTAATGACAACAAGGGTAGGCAAACCTGCAATTTCTGTAAATAAGGGATATTAAATAAGTCATGTTACAGCTATACAATAAATGCCAGGAAGACATTAAAAAGAAAGAGAAGATCCACACCCATGGTATAATGAAAATAAATATTTGATCTCTGTCCTTAGTTCCTGGTACAGTGTTCCTAAAACCCTTGGAACTTACTGTCCATTATATGTTAGTGAGATGACTACAGGGCTGTAGGGCTGGGCTTGTTAGTTTCTTCATGGGGGGTAGGGGCCAGAAAAACCAACATGGAGATTAGAGTCTAGAACTTTAAGGGCTCTCAACCCCATCTCCCTTCATCTCCACCTCCAGAGACGAGAGGGCCTGGAGACTTTATATAATAACCAATGGCCAGTGATTTAATCAGTCATGCCTACATAATGAAATCTTCCTAAAAATCCCTAAATAAAGGGCTCTGAGACCTTCTACATTGGTGGACACATCCAGGAGAGTGAATTCCTACTCATAGGTACAGAAGCTGCTTCAAGGTCCTTATAACCCTTGTTCTGGGTACCTCGTCATTTATACTCTTTATACTAAACCATAAATATAGTATTTTTCTGGGTTCTATGAGTCCACTTAACGAATTGTCAAACCTAAGGAAGAAGACTAAAAACATAGCTTAGTGGTAGAGTGCTTGCCTACCATGTGCAGGGTTTAATCCCTAGTACTGAAGAAAAAAGTCCTGAGGAACAGGGCTGCATAAGCCCCAAATTTGCATTCCGCTGGGCAGAATTGTGGGTAGTATCCTGGAAAAAAAAATTTTTTTCAGCCGGCATCTGAAATGTATCAAAAGACAATGACATAGAAACACTTTTTTTAAAGTAGGATGATTAGAGGACTTATCACACCTAATTCAAGACCTACTATAAAACTTTAGTAATCAAGATGATGTGGAGTTGACAAGAGAATAGACTATACATCAGTGGGACAACGCAACAAAAGAGGCTCCAGAAATAGGCCTATACTTTTAAGGTCGATTGGTTTTTGACAAAGCTACCAAAGTAGTAAATTGGTAAGGAAAATAGTTTTTTTTACTACCTGGTATTGCAACAACTGGATATCTATATAGAAAAGAAAATATTTATCCCCACTTTACACCATACCCCCAAATTAATTGAAAGTAGATTATAGGCCCAAATGTAAGATCTAAGACTTTTTTTTTTTCAGTGCTGGGGATGGAACACCAAGACTTGCACTGAGCTGCATCCTCAGCTCTTTGTTAGGGGTGGAAGGGGTAAATTTTTTAAATCTTAAGACAGGGTCTCACTAGGTTGCCCAGACTGACTTCGAACTTGTGATCTTGCCTCAGTCCCCTAAGTAGCTAGGGTTACAGGCATGTACCACCCTACCCAGCCTAAGCCCTAAAACTATGAAACTTCTAGAAGAAAATAGGAAAAAAAAATTGTGACAATGGGTTAGGCAAAGTTTTTGAAATAGAACACAAAACATTCAAACTATGAAAAGATTAAGCACATGTGCTCATTGCAATTTTTTAAAAGTCGTTATTCACAGATAAGAAGCAGGACATAGTGACTAATCCCCAACTAATCCCCAGCACTCTGGAAGCCTGAGGGAGGAGAATTGCAAGTTTGAGCTCAGCCTGGGTAATTTAGTGACTGAGCCAGACCCTGCCTCCAGATTGAAAATAAAAAGGGGTTGGGGATGTAGCTCAGTGTGAAGGCCCTGGGTTCAGTCCTCAGCACACACACACAGAAAGTTACAAATGAGGGTCCGGGGATTTCGCTCAGTGGTTCCACCACCTGGCCCACAAGCACAAGGACCCGAGTTCAATCCCCAGTACCAAAAAAACAACAACAAAAAGTTACTAATAAAAAAGTGAAAAGATGCCAGGCATGGGGGCACATGGTAGTCCCAGTGCTCAGGAGGCTGAAGCAAGAGGATTGCCATGAGTTCGAGGTCAGCCTGGGCTACATAATGAGTTCAAGGCCATCCTGAACTACATATAGCAAGAGCCAGTCTCTAAATAAATAAATAAATAAATAAATAAATAAGCCAAGACATGATGATGATGATGATGATGATGATGATGATGATGATG